ATTTATATATATTGCTTTAGTTGTTCTAGATCTCCACAACGGGAATGAGAGGTGGGGTAGTAGTATTAATCATAACTACTGTCAGATCTGTGATACTTTTATGTTGTTATGATTTCTATGTATCATGATTATTCCTCTGCTGTTGTTTGTGTTATACAATATTCGTTCGTTCTTACTAGAATCTCCATTGAAGGCAGTAAGAACTATACCATATATTGGAAACCACAGAGAGAGAGAGAGAGAGAGAGAGAGAGAGGCAGAAACAGAAGAGGGGATAGGGAGATTATCGATTAGATAGCACACATATACTAATAGTGAAAACATAACCAAACGTATGATGTTGATTCATAAACAGTGTGTAGAAATTGACAGGTGATTGTAGCTAACTAACTAACCAGGTGACTGCTGCTACTATCACTAAAACACCTGTAGGTAATCACACAAAACACAAAAAAGTGAATAAAATATGTAGAAAACGAGTTGGGTACAAATCTTCACTGAGATTATGAAACAGAAGAAAATAAGGCAAGAGAAAAGAAGAAATTATTCAACCACTACGTGAGCTGGAATCCACTGATCCCTTGAATTCTAACGTTGTCACATTGTGCTATAGAGAGCTGCCCAGACACACACATGGCAGACCCGCCCCCCGACAGTCCCAATTTCCCACTGCAGCTTTAAGAAATCCATTCAGAAGTCATCATAGTGAACTGAATGGTCAATAGAGCTTGGATATCGTAATCTGAAGGTGCCGGGATCGATCCCTGGTGCAATACTGAGGAGTCTCGGAATGGGACGAAACTGCAGTCTCTAGTGCTCCCTATTGGTTTTCAAATGATCTCTTTAATTGATGTCGGTTAATGATGAGAATCTAATAATTGTAATCAATTCGAATTCCTCATTTTAGAAAATTTATCGTAAGTATTCGATACGAGAAATTAGGGGAAAACTTGAGAAATGAAAATGACTTTCTACACAAGAATGACCAAGATGATATGCATATCAGACAGACATTTCGGTTTTTATGATCGTAAACACAACAACAAGTGCAGCACATGTAATAATTATGCGTCATTCTTATTACATAACCCAGAAGTACGACCAGTCATTTTATGAACCAAAATGACAGCTCATTTGGGGCTGAGGCACTCGACTTTTTGTCCGACTGACTGAATGTTAACATGGAACTTTGCACAGAAGTCCACAAGTTCCCATTGACACATCCCCCAGGTATCAAACAAAAGAAGGGATTTAGGACGGGGAAAACAAGATTCGAAAGTACAATAATAAGCAGAGATATGAGGGAGAAAAATTAATGACATAGAAAAACAATAGAGTTTCAATGGAGATCAAAGATTACAAGGAGTGAATTCATAATGATATGTATCCACATTTATATATATTTATGTGTGTGTGTATGTTGGTCTCTCTTTCTGTTTGCTCTCTTAGTCTGTGACCATTTCACTTGTATGAACTTGTCTCCTTTAACAACGTATATTCTGCTTATATTTTATATAATATAATATGTGTTTGTTGACAGTCCGTTCCTTGGTGATATATATCCATATATGGTGGTTGTTGACATGTCTGCTATATTTCGCTATGTATATATGGATCGATACTTCATTATAATTAGCCATTCATGTTAAGACTGTCTGGTGATTTGTTCACACACTTGTCTGGATGGTCATATATATATATATATATATATATATTTCGTTCTCACAATTTGTGTGACTTACTTACTACTTTTGTGTGATACCACTGATTGCTTCTCCTGGTGTTTTGGAATATAGAAGTATCATCGCAAACCTTATTGGTCTTCTGATTTCCGCCTTCTTGCGTCAGGACTATTACATTCTCGACCAGTCCATAACAATAATTTAGCGACGAGTAGATAACACATATGGACCATTTGTCTCCAATCATTGGTTCTTACAACCACATCTACACCAGAGATGGCGTAAGTTGGAAAATCCCACATCAGTCTTTTGTATCCGTGCTGAGATTTTGTTGACAGCAATCAGTCCGTTGTGGAGCTAATGCAACTTCGCAAAAAAATTGAAGTAAGCAATATACTCTACCACTTCATTAGTGTCCATCTTTAGGTTAGGAGTTGATGTAGTTCAGTCATCTAACACCACCTTACATTTGACAGAATCGAATCGTATGCCAGACATTCGAAGATTGCTATTCAAGGCTTTCAGAAGACTGCAAATATCAGTGCCTTCATCTAACAGCACCATTTCATCCGAATATTCTAAGTCAACAAGATTATCCCCTGATAACAAGTCAATCCCGGATTCGCTGAAGTCGATTAAGGTTGATTCCTTTAGTACATCTATGATGAAATCAAACAGAAATAAGAACAGAGGGCATCCATCCCCCCCCCCCGATGGACACCACTAGTTGTTATCACTGCACATGACAACTCTCCGTAGGCTCTTTCTTACCTGGCTGCATGAGTTCGAGTAGAATGCCTCGATTTCTGCAATGTACTTTCTCGGCATTCCCTTCATAGCTAAACATTGCTATAGTACCCCTCAGTCAACGGAGTTAAATTCTTCTTTGAAGTTAAGAAATCCAGCAACTTTTGGACGCCGGCAAATATGCCTATGATCCAGAATCTGTCGAAGAATGAAGATATGATGAATACACCCTCTTCCTGGCCTAAAGCCTGACTGATTTTCTCGTGTTTGTCTCTCCCGAGCACCATTCAATCTACATGCATGATTGTTGAGCCTAAAAATTCGGATACCATATTCGTCAAGCTAATCCACCTGTGATTTATCTCAAGAAGACTAGTCTCTACTCTTCAAGCTAGACGCCTGAGGTTTCTGTAGCAGTGTTTATTTTTACAGGATGAGATTGCTAGCCTCATGCCCAACCTTCCCTCCCCCTTGGCCACTTCTATTACTGACTTAGCGAGGTAAAAGAGTACGTCTGTGGCCGGGATTCGAACCCCAAACCATATGCTGTCTGTCCAGATTCAACATAGAACTTGGCACCGAAGTGCAGCAGTTCAACTTGCCACATTCCAAATAGCACTTAGAGGTAGACAAGAAGATAAGTGAAGAGAATCAATACAGTCTGACAAGTATAAGAGTAATACAGAATGGGTAATGGTAGAAAGGAATATGAAAGATTACAGAAACTGAATATATATGCGCCATTGACAACGATTTTGAGCAATGTCACCTATTGTCTCCACCCATTGATTCCTAGAGTCAGTCCCGAGGGCCCCAACCCGGAAGTCTGCATCTCCCTACCTGACCGACTCAGTTTAACTGTCAGGGATTTCATGGATTGACGCCATGTTTTTGTTTGGCCACCACTTACTCTTTTCCAACCTGCACCTATATCAGCAAGCTAGTAATGACCGTCAGGTGAGGCGATGGTTAGGCATGCGCACCACGTGACCTAGCCATCTTAGTCTATGTAACTTTATAGCCTCGTCGATTGATTTTCCCTCTTTGCCCAACACTCTACGCCTAACGTCAACATTACTTATCTTGTGAAACCACCTAACGTGAGACAGAGATCGCAGACATCTATGATCCAAAGCAGTCAACCTTTTCATGTCTTCAACAACTCGTATTGGCCATGTTTCAGAGCCACAGAGAAGGACGGAGCGAACTGGTGAGCAGTACACACGTCCCTTCGTTGATAACCGGATGTCACGCCTACGCCAGAGATGGTGTAAGTCAGCGAAAGCAACTCGAGCTTTTCGGAACCGTGCTGAGATTTCATCGCCAATCAGTCCGTTGGTGCTGGCTGATACAACTTCCCAAATAGGTGAAGTGGTCAACATGTTCTATCACTTCACTCCCTATCATTAAGCTAGGAGTTGACGTAGTCCAGTCCTGTAGCAGCATATTACATTTTGTAGGGGCGAATCGCATGCCAAACATACGAAGATTGCTGCTCAAGGTGTTCAGAAGACTCTGCATTTTGTCAGAATCCTCCCCTAACAGGACTATGTCATCTGCATATTCTAAGTCCATAAGATTATTCCCTGGTAACAAGTCGATTCCTGAGTCACTACGTTCAGTTAAGGATACTTCCATCAGGATATCTATGATGAAGTTAAACAGAAATGGGAAAAGTGGACATCCCTGTCGGACACCACTGGTTGTTACCAATTCAGATGACAATTCCCCATAAGCCCTTACACGACTACGTGAGTTTGAATAGAGTGCCTTGATTAGTGCAATGTACTTTCTTGGCACTCCCTTCACAGTCAGACATTGCCATAGTACCTTTCGATCCACGGAGTCGAAGGCCGCCTTCAAGTCAAGAAATATGACAATTGTTGGACGCCGAAAAGTGTGTCTATGTTCTAGAATCTGTCGAAGAGTGAAGATATGATCTATGCACCCTCTACCTGGTCTAAAGCCTGCTTGATTTTCTCTTGTCTGTTCCTCCCGAGTTCTGCTTAGTCTATGCATGATTACTGAGCCTACATGCATGATCGACCAGCGTCCTAACCGCTGTGCCACCGACGCACTAGTGAACTAGTTTAGTACACTCAATTTTATACAACCTTAAGAAATCCCACTTAAAGGGTGACAAGTCCATCAGTAGTAGTTCAAGGAAAGAATGCCTACCAGTCACGCCTCACATGGTTCGAGTTCGACTACCGGCAAGTAACACCCTCCTCGAAAACCTCACACAGTCATTACTACACCCGGTAAAGAGGGAAGGTTGACTGTTAGACCTGGCAACACTACAGAAGAGTTATTTCGCTCGTTTTAGGGATTGCCTGAGGGAGCACCTTGTCAGCAGTGTGTATACCCACCCGCTTGGACTCAACTCAACTACTCAAGAGAGCCAAATCCGTTGTTCAAACCACCGTCAAATAGCTAGCCAGAAATCGGGTAATTTGAACTGAAGCTGAGTGAAGTCAAACCGTGTAGACCACCAAACCAAAAATGGGAGCGAAATGCAAAAGAATCAATGAAAAACAAAACATTAAGGGAACAAAAAAACAAGAGACTTACTCATCTGTATATATATATATAAACGTAATCAAATTTATTTGATCATCTTCTCCCGTTATCCTTCATTCCCCATCATTCCTTTTTCATTCAGCATTTATTTGTTAGTTTTGTGTTGTAACTTTGAGAGTACACTCGCGTCTGTGTCTCACAGTAATTCATAACACCAAAAGAAAGTGAATACAATTCAGTGAGAGACACACAGAGAGAGAGAGAGAGAGAAAGTTCAAATTAAATAAATAAACAACACAATACCATGTATGAATGCATCCCCTATTTACCGATAATAGTAAATTTTATTATTTTTTTTAAAAAAACACGTGTAGAACACCATGATGATTGGACTTGGTTTTACAATTAGTATCAAAGAAAAGAAAGAAAGCTTGAGAAAATTATAAAACAAAAAACAAAAAAAAATATTAAAAACAAAAAACCGCGCAAAAAAAGGAGACAGTCAAAGACAGCTGAGGGGGGCAGGTGAGAAGACAAGAAATCGCACACTGTTTACAATCATGAATAAATTCGTCCATTAATCCGTTGAAAATTCTGTCGACTAATTATGTCACCCAACGGGCACATATATATATAGATAGATGGATACGTGGGTGAATAGACGGAAAACAAAAATGAAGAAATAGGACACCCGTGCCTCCCTCGCCACCCCCAACCGATGCTCCCACACAATATGTATATTATAAAAAATCACAATGATGATAAAAAGAAGCCAGAAGACAAAGCAATGCAGCATAATAAAGAGCGGTAATCATGGTGGGGCGGGGTATACAACCACGTGAATTCAACAACTCATCAACTGTTCCCACCCCTTTCCTTAAAAAAAACGGTGAAAGTATCGTTGAAAAAAAAACAATATTAGGAGAAAATAGAAAAGCAATAATACTTATACAAGTAGTCTAATAAAGCATGATAAAAGCAAAATATACACTTTGTCGCTTTATGTTTAACGATTTACAACAACACAAAAAAACACATGCATGAAATATATATGAATGTCAGTAGGAGCTGTCGTAGAAGTAGTAGCGTTTAGTTGTTGTATATATATATATATATATATATGCTGTGATGAGTAATTCTCTTGATTTGTAAAAGCGTACATACATACATACACACTCATACACAAAGAACAAGTGAGTATTCGCATTCTATCCCTCTCTCTTTTATCCTTTTCCCTACAGAGAAAGCGAAGCAGGGGGGTAGGGTGGTCGACCGCGTGGGTGGGGGGGGCGAATATGAATTAATATAAATGCATATTGTGTTACTTTCATAAACACATTATTGTCATCAAGATAAAAAAGTTGAATACAATAAAAGGAAATCAATAAATAAATACATTTAAGAAGAACTCAAAATAAACTGTTCTCAAATTACTCTTACAAAGCTACCTTGGATGATCGTGTAACGTCATCCATCACCACCTACCTACCTAAACCTTAGAGCCTAATTTATAGTTACGGTAGACGATAGAGAGATAGACATGTGTGTGTATGTACGTATGTATGTAAGAAAGAAAGAAGATGGACACACAAACACACACACATACATACAATCCGTAGGGCTGTTTGTTTGATACTATACAATGTAATGTGGCAGTGATCGTCTGGAATATATAAAGATGTGATATACAGTATAAAAAAGGATTGATGATACTTGTCTTGACGATGTGATGAATAACATCGGGTACGGTTGGAGAATACGCTGAAGAAATCAATCGACGGCGCGCAAGCACACACATACGTGCACACACAGATGAAAATAAATAATGGTAGTTATAAATAGTTGTCTATAAATGTTGCAAATATGTCTATGTATGTGTATATGTTGAGCGAATTTACAGATGAAATAGTTGTAGAAATAATAAGTAGTATATTGATAATATTAAGTAATAAAAACAGGTTTTATCAATGAAACGAAATGTGGGTGAGATCTTGTTGTCTTCATCATTATTAGTAGTAGTACACATTTATGTCTACTGATATGATATTTTCCTTTCAGTGTGAATAAAAGTAAATTACAATAATCCTAGCCCAGAATTCGTCGGTACAACATTCTGTGCATTTGTATTCATTAGTCCAGCATTCATTTGAAGTGAATTTGTACCCGGATTGCCTAACCAATTCGGTTGACCAGCATAACTAACCGGAGGCGGCGCTGCAGAGATATCTGGTGGTGCAGTCACACCAGATGGTGCACCTCTTGACGCCCAACCACTTGTCGTTGTTGTTGTATCCTGTTGATTGAACATAAACGGTTGAACTGGATGACTTGATTGTACTGTTCGAGTTAACAGTGGTACAGAACCCGGATTTGATGTGATATTCGCTGGGAGGACATTCGGTTGAACCCCCGCTGCTCGTCTGGCGACAACCAGACCTGATCGATTCGCTGGTACAATACCAAGATCATTAAGATCTTTATTCCCACCACCACCACCACAGCAACCACGTCGACGGAATACACGGGCGAAAAATCGTTGCCATGACACCAACGTTTTACCACTCCATATCCATATACCACTTGTTATGCCAACGATCAAGGTCATCAGATATTTAATCATGAATAATTCAAATTCAGGTTTTTCTAATGCAGACATTTTGGCGAAAATATTTTCACTAACAAATCCATCCGAATTATCTGATGAACGAGACGCAGCACTGCCAGCCTCGACTAATCGTCTAAAGTGTCCAGGACATATTGAATCAGCTAGCAGATTTGGATCAACTTTACGACAAACTTCAGTTGTATACCATGTCAACATCCATTTCTCTGACATTCTTGACTCGTGTAGATAACAGGCAATGACAACTAGCGCTGGTACGATGTACAACAGACTGAATACACCAATACGCATAATCAACTTTTCTAAATCATCCGTTTTTGAACCACCCGTTTTAATAATTGTACGAATTTTGAATAAGGAGACAAATCCAGCGAATAGGAAACATGTTCCAATTAAAAGATACAAGCAAAGTGGAGCGATTAAAAAAGCTCTCAGGATAACTGGATCTGTTAACCCAGTGAAACAGACACCAGACAACGGGTCACCGTCAACTTTGCCCAGTGCTAATATACCGATTGTCTTTGCAGCAGGTATTGCCCAAGCAGCAAAGTGTAAGTACTGAGCATTACGTGAGATAGCTTCATGCGCCCAATGACATTTCGCAGCTAAATACCAGGTAATTGTGAGTACAACCCACCATATTGAACTAGCCATAGAGAAGAAATAGAGTAACATGAAGAGGATAATGCATCCTTCAAATTTTGTTCCCTGGGTAATTAATCGTGGCATTTCAATTTGTCCACTAAGAGATTGTGGTGCTGGAAATGGACCTGAGCAAGCAACCTGAGTTGGAAGTAAAGAAGAAAATAAAGACAAGGAAAAATAAACACAGCATTAAAGAAATAAGGTGTGAATCATGAGAAACTACTATTTAAATTAACAAAATTGTATCCTGTGAGAAAACCTCGCCTAATTCACTAGATCGATAGTTTTCTAGCCGGTACCAAACCTGGGTAAGGAGGGTGGGTTGGGTGTGAGGCTAACGACCCTACTTATTTATTTTTATTTATTTAAACGCATAAAAACTTGGTACAATATGGCACCAAGAAGGATGCGCCACACAATAATAATAAAACAACATAGATCAAAAGAAAAGAAAGAAGAGAAATATATATATATATATATATAAGTAGAGAACGGATAAAGAACTTCATCTGGAAGGAAAACAGTCACGATTAACAAGTTCAAATAGTATTCGTTAACTATCATCGGGAAGGGAAGAAAGAAGGAAATTGCAACACGTGTAATAGCACGCGATAATTTTCATTGATTGTTTGTTGCTTCATTCAACTCATTGTGTGAGGGCTGAGATACTGCCCGGGCGCCCAGACCGAAGCAGGTGGTTTTACTAAGGGATCACCCCCGAGTCTAATCCACAAGGCAGCAGAGCAACGTCAGGAGCTGCATTCCCATGGTTTCTGGTGACCCAAATGGGTTCATACACCATATGATCCGATTGGATACTGGAGCCCATGTACCTCATAGTAACTGCTTTTAGTTAAACCGCTATCCAAACAACCTTCCTGACATGGTAGGACCTGCAGGGACAGAGTCCCAGTCAGTTTAGCATGTTGAGCGACCCTACTGCATAAAATAAATCAAACGAACACTTAATCGGTGACAAGACTGCCTATTATCACCAATGATATTCTTAATTATAGTGGACTGACTGGATTATGCGGAAGACTGTGCGTTGGGAGCGAGGAGACAGGAATATGCTGAACCAGCGATGAGAAGACTCTAGAAGATCTGGATTCCGCGTGTGGATGATATATGTCTAATGTCACACAGACTCGAAGACTTGCAGGCTGGCGAAAACCAACAAATTGGCTGAAGAAGCAACGGAGACAGGACTCTAAGTGAACATAGAGAAGACAGAGGTGAGGCAACAAGAACAACGAGCACCAATCACCATCAACAGGAGATGTTTGACAGAGGTTACTTCCTTCACTTATCTGGCGAGGAAGCACAATTTCAACCACAGACAGCCGGAACGGATGAAGATGTCAAATCCAGCCAGAATCGGAAAGGCAAGGTGTATCATACACCTTCACCAAACTGAAGGCAGTTTTGAAATCTTCTGCACTCCACCTTAGCATAAAGAACAAGATTCGGATATTCAACGCCCATATGTGAAGTCAGTCATTTCTTCGATAGGGGTCAGAAACTTGGAGTGTGGGTCACGAAAAGTATTTCCAACAAGTTACAGACTTTTATCAACAACTGATGCCTTCACTGGTTCCATACTGAAGATCAAATGACCGGTAGACCAGAAAGAATAGCAAGGAGAAACTCTGGAAACAATTCAACCAACAACTGATTGTCACCCTCGCACCCACGTCCAACCAAAATCGTTTCCAAACCGTTCCATAAATTTCAAAGCATAGGGGAAAAATACTTAAAAAATAAACTTATTCTTAGCTGAAATCAAAAAGATGAAATGATGCGGACTGGTGAAAGCCTTAGGGGAATTGCAAGTCAGTTGATGTGTCTTCTCTTTCAATGAGAGTAAAAATAGGTATGGAGACATGGGGTGTCCACATGACTAGAAGAAATCTGTTGATCTCCGAGGAGTATCATTAGCATTCAAGGTGCTCCATCCCGCCTGCTACAAGAACTGTCCCATCCCCGAAGATAAAAGTTGTATGCAACCCACAAGGTGGTTGTGGATTTGTGTAAGTTTTCGTGAGAGTGGGTCATGACGCTCTGAGATGGCCCGGTGATGTACCTACCATGTGAGAAGCGACTCGTACGTTTTCACCAGACAGTGGAGGAGTGGGATAACATCAACCATCGAGGCAACATCGACAGGATGCTTTGTATCAGGAGTCTGTTTCCATGGGACACGCATTCTTGGATACTTCGTTCAGTTGGGATACCAATTCAGCAGAAAGGAAGTACAACATCTCCAACTTTATCTGAAGACTGGTTCGAAAATCAACGTGAAACACTGGAAATAACAAGGAATTGACGGAAGCCTGATACCCAAGACGAAGTCTGCAATCAACAGACATATTTGTTCGAACACAAAGAGCAAGTTGGATGGATAAAAAGTTAAAGATCAGGTCAACATCAATGGTTGTCAATACCAATATAAGTCAACAAGAGTATGAGAAAAGACCCAAAAACAACCCATCACCCTGAAGTTCGGCAGTAGACTGACTTTCTGGTTGGGGTCCTCGGGATGTTAAAAGCCAATGAAGGTTGGAGACAATTATCGGTGATATGGCTCAAACTCATCGTTCTCAGTGATGGCGCAGATGCATCCACTTCTTGTGACTTATAATACCCAATGAAACTGTATTTTTCTTCGTTACTTTTATTCCTTTTGTCTCATATCCCTGTCTACTGTCTCTATTTTGCATTTCTTTTTACTTTCTTCCCTTCCTTTGTATGATACATGTGGGAAGTGTGGCGACTCGAACTGCTGCACATCGGTGCAGAGTTCTACGTTGAAACCAGTCAGTCAGTCAGTCAATCAATAGATAATGAAGATGAATAAACAGGAGATAGAATAATTACATGAAAAAACATGAGGACTTAATGGACGTAGGATATTACAAAGAGTGAATGAGTCTGTACCACCGGGAACGATCTTGAGATATATCGCCAACAGTCTCAAGTTATTGGAACTTGGCGTATAAGGTCTCCAATCAGGTAGTCTGAACCTGACTGGCTTAGACCAACTGTTAAGAACTCCATGAATTGATTTCACGGGTTAATTTGGTCACCCCCAAACTTTCTTCCAACTTAATCCTATGTTAGCTGAGATTGCCTCATAAAGAACACGGTGTGTAGCATGTGTTCTAGCCATCTCAGTATATGTAGCTTGACGCCTAACCTTAACATTAATCACCAAACTATACCGCTTAACACGGTAGAGATTAACAGAGGTAGTTATCACGTTCATGGTGAATTCCAAAACTGCCTTCTGCATAAACTTGAAGTCATCGAAATCCACCGGACGAAGTGAAACTTTCACGAGTTGGTTTGTAAGGATTAAATTTGTTTTTACGAGTTTGACCACGCATTGATATCAGTTAGAGAACCATTGAAAACCAGTACTGGAGTACTGGACAGATGTTTTATCCTAGTTTGGGAATCATCGGCAGCACACACCCACTGGAACTTATTCGTTCGAAGGAAATTTGGAGTCATCTTCCTTACCACCGCCATCATTAAATGAATGTAAAAAAAATGACAGTTCCATCCACCACCCCTCCCCTTAGCCACTTACTTACAACTTAACACTATTTTTAACTTACTAATTCGGTTTAACTCATTTTTAATTTTTCTTGCATATTTGATTTCATTACGCAGATTTTGCTACCCCAGTTTTATGAGAGTGAGTGATTACACTAGTAAGCTCAATAACGAAAGAAAATTATCTATACATAACCATTGGAAACCAAGAGACACCAGTTCACCACCTTTCAGTCTTGTAGTTTGGAGCCTTTCAACAGGATACCCAAAGTTTACTTGCTTCTGATGAGCTGAACCATTAATCCGGCTGTAAAACACTATCACGAACGCTAACCAGTGTTTTCTCCCGACCGACAGCTGCTACCTTGACGTGGTGGTCGGGCTTGAACACCGCAATGACCTAATCAAGCTATACTGGCTGAGACTTATGTCTCTTGAGGTTCTACCATGCCAGGCAGGTTGTTTGGATAGCGGTTAAACAAAAAGCAGCTACCCAATCCAATATCATGATCCAAACAAATTCACAAAATTTCATGCCGGATCGGCCGTGGCCCGGATTAACAACGACCGCGCTTCCTGCTGCCGTGTCACAGGGCGGGAGTGATAAGTATGCTACTGAGGCACACCAAACAAAAGAGAACAAACAAAAACAGGCCGCGTGTGACCGGCCTCAAGCAGTTGTCCCCTGGGCTCTGCGGTCACGCAACCAACTTCCACGGTGTGGGCAGCCGGGAAGTAACAAACGCCCTCACAATCCGAAATGCACACAAAACCTCTCTAATCCTCACTTATCTTTGTCTTCATCTTCATCTCTATTACCTTGCCTTCCTCCCACTGATGCAACTCCTCTACTTGATGGCTCCTCACTCCCTCTTCACTCTGTGTCCACTAAAAACGACGGAAGCCAAAAAACCACCACGGATAGTCTCCTAAAGCCACGCCACCAATTTCATATAGGAGCATTTAATGTTAGGACACTTTGCCAAATAGGACAACAAGCATCACTAGCTAAGACCCTGGCATCTCGAGCCATTGATGTATGTTGTGTTTCAGAAACACGCATACAAGACCCAAGTGTGGTTATTCACCTAACCCCACCTGGCCAACAGGATGAATCTTCAAAATTCACCTTGAGGGTGTCAGGAGATGCCACAGCTAGTTCACGAGGATTAGCTGGCGTAGGGATAGCTTTGAGTACTAGGGCAGAAAAGACATTGCTTGACTGGATCCCAGTAGATAGCCGAATGTGTGCTGTCCGTCTGAACGGATCAGTAAGAAGGAGAAAGGACTGCACTACTCGCCGATGCCTTTTCGTAATCTCCGCCTACGCCCCCACTGACTGCAGTTCGGATGAAACGAAGGATGAGTTCTACCAAAAGCTGTCTAGTTTGGTGAGAAAGGCTAAACGCTCAGATATAGTCGTTCTAGCTGGTGACTTTAACGCTCAAGTAGGGAAATTGTGTCAATCTGAGAAGGATGTCGGTGGCACCTATGGAGTTCCGTGCCAGCGAACCGACAACGGTGACCGTCTCCTACAGTTCTGTTCAGATAATCATTTGTTTCTTGTAAGCACTAACTTT